AACAAAATTGCCACGAGACTTCTCAATAATCATAATAACAAAATCTCTCTCACTCTCTCTTTCTTTCTCTCTCTCTCTCTCTCTCTCTCTCTCTCTCTCTCTCTCTCTCTCTCTCTCAACAAGACACCATGAATGTATTTTTTTTGGATACATAATTTGCCTTTTATTTTGTTATTTATTAATTTTTTTCAATCAATATTCAAAGTTGTCCCTTAGCATGTTAAATGTGAGATTTTGAATAAGACTTCCAAAATTTTGGTGCCCAATTTTACATATGTTTAGGGCATTTTCATCAATCTATATAAGCTATAGCCTAAATTGTTTATGTTCAAATTGTTAATTGCTTAAGTTTAGATTCAAATTCTTGATGGTTTAGGTTAGGTTCAGATTGTTGATTGTTTAGGATTAGCGTCCTTTTATGCTTAAAATATATGTATCACTATTATCTCTTATGTAATGCCATAAAAAATTCTGAATGTAACAGAGCCTTCAAAAAAAATTAGAACGTACGTGTAAATATTATCATACCTACTTTTACACATAAAACAAATCCAGTTATGCAACATATAAGTAATCCTTTAGTCAAATGTAGATTTTGTTGGATTTGAAGTTTGTTTAAGAAATCCCATTTTACTTGCAAACAAAAACAAAAAAAAGTAGGAGTTTCTTTATATTTGTAGAATTCCTCATCATTTTCAAGGGAATGTTTGTTTAACTTTTAATAGTTTCATTAAGAGACAACATCTGAATCGTTAAGAGGTGAATCTTGTTCGGTAAAAAAAAATCTCTTAATGGTTTCAAAATTCTCTGAATGATTTTGCATCATGGATATCTCTTAACCATTCGGCACCCTAATTTCATTGTAAATAATTATCAAACAATTATATTTCATTTTACAATATATCATGAGAGCTTCTTAATCATTCTAACCACTTAATTATTTTGCAAGAAACCATTCAGCAACTACCAAACAACTCTTAAAATGAATAATCAAAACTGATTTTTTTTTTTGAAAAAATTACATTCAGTTCTAACAAATTCTTTTATTAAAAAATTGCAACAATAGCTATATGATTCAAATTTTGAAAGCATTTAATAAAATATTAATTTTTTTCTAAAGATTCAAGATTAAAGTTTATTATTGATGAAAATATAATTTTAAAAAATCCTTTTTTTTTTCCTTTTAGGTATATAATCTCCTGATAAGTAACAAGTTATTTTTATCTTAACAGGTCAGAATACTACGGTTTTAATTAAAATCGCATTTAAGGTTATATACCTAATATGACCCTCGTTTTTGGGAGTTCTCCAAATTTGAAGAATTTCATACTCTCTCTTCCACTTTCTCTATTTTGGAGAATCCTTTAGAACAAAAAATTATCTAAAATCTTTGTTTTATACATTTTAGATAATCTATTGAAGATGCTCTTACCAACATAATAAAATTAAATGGAAGAAAAGTGAGAAAGTAATTTTGTTATTTATTTATGGTTAATATTAAAATCTATACTATATTATAAAGCATTTGACAAAAACTTTTAAAAACCATTTTTATGTATGATATAATGTTTATTGATGCATATTATTTAATCAAATATAGAATAAACATTCATCTTGAATATAAAAAATCTAAAATATAGTTAAGATAATCGTTGAGTTCTAACAGAATGTTTAATTATTATCTTTATAAAAATTTATATTATTAAACTAAAAATAAATTACTTTGTTATTAAGGGGATGTTTGGGATTGCTTATTTGAAACAATTTATATTTTCTCCAAAAGCACTTATCCAACTTATTATAAGTCAGAAGAGTTTAACTTCTTCAAAAACTTCTTATTACCGGTTTGGCACCGGTATAAGTTGTTTATCCAAATACTCAAAAGTGCTTATTACCGGTGCCACACTGGAATAAGTCAATAAGTTATTTTTATAAGCAATCATAAACACCCCCTAAATCTAAAATTGAAACAAAAAATTGAATTAAAGAAGTTACATAAAAAAAAAAAGAACTATTAATTAGTTAATTTAATACTAATATCGATTTATTTTTTCAAAATTTTATGTTATCTTCAAATTTATATTCCATTCAAAAATAAAAACATTATCGCTTGCTCAAAATCACATAAAATCGTATTATATCGATAGAGGCAGAATAAAAGATAAACATTAAAATCAAGACTTATCTCGTTGCATTGCGCGAGTACTCTTCTAGTATCTAAAATAAAATTAAGAAAATTGTTTAACATATAATATCTTTTAATATATAATTTTTCTTCTTCTTTATTTAAAAAAAAAACTTGTGTATAAACTATGAGATGCTCTATGCCCTACACCTTCCATGTTAGGTATTTCTTTTTCCAAGTTAGCAAGAAATTGGTTTCTTTTATGTCCCAAAGTTCTGATTATCCCAATTGAAAAAAGAGTCTTGATTTTTTTTTTTTTGTTAAAAAATATTAAAATGTGGGTCCTCGTGTAGATTGACGAATCGAAGGACGACAAATATTTGATCATCTCACGAATTTCAATACATTAGTCTTAAACCTGAAAACATAATAATAAGAAGAATTTTAATCAAATCAAATCGAATTGATGTTTTTATTTTTCTAGTTTGGCACCCATCAGACTATCCAAGAGACATGACGAAGGTGTAGATGAATTTGTCCTACATAGTTTATCGTGATTGAATAAATGTTAAAATTCTTAATTTTAGAAGAAAAAAACACAATCAGAAAAAAATTGATTTTATCGTATAAATCTTAGTAAAGACATCAAGAGTTAACGTAAGAGAATTTGTGATGGGTTTTATGGAACTCTAAGGATAACAACAATTTTAAAAATTCCAGTGGCTTAGAAAAGACTCAAATTAACCATAAGGGTGGTGCTTCATTGGTTTGAATTTGACTCCAAAGGTCAAAAGTGTCGGTAGGTCTCAGGTTCAAATCCAAGGAAGAATAAAAATCCCCTTGTGGCCACAGAGGTTCAAATGCTGTGATTGTGGGCTACGTGCAAAGCAAGTGGTCGTCCTGGGATTAGTCGGTTCGCATAGCAGGTTGGATATCCAGGTTAACAAAAAAAAAAAGACTCAAACTAATTATTCTACAAAAAGAAACATTAAAGTCTAATATTTATTTATCAATTGAAATGAATCCTAAGATTTAAGATATGATACAAATCGAGATTTAAGAAGCAAGTAAAGAGTAAAAAAATTATATTAAAATAAAAAGGAAATACCTACAAAAGTTAATGAATAATGAGCGATTTACAAAGTTTCAATCAAATAGACATTGCAAAACACGGGCAGTTTAAGTTGTACCAATATAGATTTTAATTACAACTTTAGGTCAATTTTTACTTCATAATAATTAAAATTTACAAGCTAGCATAATGATACATTAATAATGTTATTGATTTTCAACTAAATTGAAGTTTTATCGATAACTTATGACTTGTTTATCAAACACTTATCATGTAAGTGTTTATGGACAAAATTCAACACTATTACTTACTTACCAAGAAAGATTTTAGTTAACAAAAATGTATCATATGCAACAATTTACCCGTTCAATGCTAACCGTGGTAAGAGTTATCACCATCACTTGCCGGGTAGGAGGTGGGTAAAGATGCGATGGAAACAAGTTAAATTTGTGAGATATGAATTTGAAATGATAACCTTCTCCGAAGGGATTCTAAATCTGTTAGATTGTGGATTTTATTAAGAGCATCTCCAACAACTATGTTATATTATTTCTAAAATATAATATATAAAAGTCAAAATCTCTCTCTCTCTCTCTCTCTCTCTCTCTATATATATATATATATATATATATATTTAACTCCAACTACTCTATGTTGGCAATTATAATATAAACTAGATTATTAAAATATTCAATACATTTAATACAACATTATTAATCTCCCCTAAACATTCATTTATTATAAATATATCTAACCTCTTATTGGTGAAAAAATATTAAAATAATAATTCCGCTCTCCTTTTTTGATTTCTTTAAATGTTTTTTTCTCTATTTTAGCATACAAGATGGTTTGGCTATTGGAGCAAAAAATTGCTAAAATCCTATTTTTCTCTATTTAGTATAGTTATTCGAGATGCTCTAAATATATAGGATTTCAAATCCAAACTTTTTTTTCAAACCAAACGTAGAATTGGAATGAAATGAAATTCGACTACAAATCCTACCAAATTTCACAACTCAAAGAGGATCCAAGTCATCACAGCCATTCGTTGAAACAATTTCTACACGATTGATCCTTCTCATTCGTATCGTGGTATTTTTTTTAAGCATACACGTCCATGTCATCTCATATGCACCTAAACTAATTTCAATAACTATAAAGAATCGAATTGACGACTTCGAAACAGTCTTAAACCCTAACTTTTACTTACAAGTTGAACTAATCCACAGGGTTTTATATCATTAATTTTAAATATGCTTTGGGTTTGGAGTAGAATTTTGATGATGAGGAAATCATAGTAAATTTGGGACTCCTAATAAAAAATGCAGAGGCCCCACCAAGCAGGGTCCCTCTAGAAACCTCTGGAATCATGTTTACCAAACTTCTTGCACATTTTCCACAACCTTATCAACCTACACATTCTCTAGTACCAATCAAACGGTAGCCTCTAATTAGAATTTCCTACCATCAATAACGTACCATCGTTAATGCATCTGGTACAACATTGATAACATAGCCATCCAAATTACTAGTAAATATGGGTTGATAAGAAACGTTACATCGTTTTCTCAAAATAACTCAAAGTGTCTGAAAAATCACCGATCCCAAATTCTCATTCCTGCTCTACCAATAAAATTAAGACACATCATATATTTACTTAATTTATTCAGGTGTATTTATGTAATTGATGGATAAAAGTAGGACTCGAGAATTTGGGACACGAGATTGTGTTCCAAGAAAGTAGGGATGTGACGAAAACCAGCAAAACAAAGTCTTAAATCAAGAAACCGAGAGGAATGAACAAATTCGTAAACAGATAACAACGATTTGATTCCATTACCGATTGACACGATAAAATAGCAGTCAGAACCTCAACTGGAAAATTTCACGGCCTTTCTTTAAGCAAAACAGCGTCTTATTACCAAACCAATGGAGCCCAGCTTATATCGTCCGAAAATGGGGTCATATATGATGTATGGACCTAAGCTCTACCCCAAAGAATAGAACAGTTGTTTGCATATTGAATCTTATTATTACCATTACTTGTATTTTTTCTTAAAAAGAATACAAGCACTCTCATGCTGTCCAACGACTTGAGAAAATTTTAGGCAATACGAGGTTCATCGGAAAGTATACCTGTCAAACTCGAGATTGGTGGCCCGCTTTGAGAAGAATGGAAGGTTCTACAATGGTGAAGAAAAGCTAAACTGCACGCCAGTCTTCGCACGATCATGTTCATGTTGTCTTAATATGTAGCAGTAGTTGACCTGATTAAGAATCATCATCAGAGCTGAACGAGTCCCGGGTTTATATTTTCATCGTAACCTCAAAATACTCTGGTTTTATTATCTGATTTTATTATTCGGTTTCAAGTATAATTTGAGGAAGGATATGTATCTAACCTCCATGCGGAACAATTTAGTGGGTACAATAAGCCCAAATCCGGCAGATCTTCGGAACGAGTCTCGGTATTTCTGAAACGAGAGATCTCGGAACGAGTTCTCCGTTAATTTGACAAGACTCCCGGCACAAGCAAATGCATGTCCGTGAATATTGGAATCTCTCAACACCTTCAATGGAAGATCAAAAGAAAGGTCTGCAAAGGCAGTAACAGCAAGATCTCCACCAAGAAAGTCCCGTTCGGAAGAGGGGTCAAAACCTGCATCTCCAGCTTTCTCACCAACTTCCCTTCTTGGCTCACTGGGTCCCAGTCCCCTCGTCTTGAAACCCAGTAACGACGTTGGGCCTCCTAATGAACAAACAGGGGAGGAATTCCCACCCAAGAAGAATCGATCAGGTAAAGATACGGGTGTATTCACGAATCCACCTCCCCATGGGAATATAACACCACCAGCAACCCCAAAGTTTATGGCAGCACGAGCGAAACCTAAGGGCAAAGCATACCGGAGATCGAACTCCTGTCAAGAAAAATGTTGTGAAATTGGATACAATTAAGTTTTCAATTAATCCAATATGTTTAAATTTAGTTCAAAAGTCAACTTTCTCCAAGATCAGATCTACACATATTGCTAATATTGGTTTTTATGCGGAAAAACAGATTGAAATGGCTAATATTATTGTTTACTTAGCATAATCCAATCATCAACAAACAGGGTAAACACAATATGGAAATATAAAGCATAAAAAAAGAGCGTGAAACCAGGGAATTTTATGTGGAAACCTGGAAAAAGGAAAAACCACAGGCGGAAGTTAAGGCACAACGGAAGACCAAAAAATGAATATCATATATATAGGGCCGGTTCAAATAAGAATGAACATTAGGCATGAAAGAGCACAAACCTGGCGGATAAAACGTACGCTCCGATAATCAGGAAAAATGCCACCAAGTTGAGAAGTGGAAACAAAAGCAAACCCTCTTGTTGGTCTAAGAGGTGAGTTCCTTTTATCGATCTTAAATGTATACTTCAAATGTGACAGCAAATTATGTCCAAGCTGACTCCTGACTGACTTACAAGCCATTTGTGATGGATCAGTTAAGGTGCGCCAGGAGAGATTATATGCTAGGTCATGGTTCCTGGTGGATAGTAAGCCAAGAGATAGTCCCAGTGCTTGTTCCTTGTAAGAGGAGAACTTCAGCCAATCTTGAGAAAGAAGGGATACACGGGCCGTGACAGGATTCACCAATTTCATGAATCTGGGCAAAGCTACACCAGTACTAATTTCTGATGTTTGGTCCCAGCCATAAGACAACGAACCATCCCAGATATCTCCATGCCCTAACATGTTTTTAAGCTTTAGTGAACTCTCAAGTGACCAGGATCTAGCCTACAAAAGAAATTGAAGGAATAACGTATGAGAAGTGAAATGCCGCATTTCCTCCATTTAAAGAAAACATGATAATGCAACAAAAATTTAAGGTTCAAGAGCAATGACTTATCATGCCCACTTTCCAGTACTTAAATTAGCTTTTAAGTAAATTAGAGTAAATGTATCCGACAGAAGCTAAATTTGTACAACAACCGACTAATTATATTGAAGTCAACCAAAAATTAGTCGGAAGTCTCCAAGCTCGGTTCCAATTTCACGTCTTTTCCTTACCTTAGACGTACCCACATGATCTGTTCTGGAAATATAGGCAACCCAAAACAGGTTCAAAATGCACATATGTGTTTAACAAGCATCTCAAATACAGCATCAATTTGAAAACACATCCATTTCGTACATATATCTCATTTTTTTAACAGGGTTCATGGTACTCACTTTGTTCATGGCCACATGTCACTTCTGGACTCTACATTTGGTCAACTAATCACATAAACAAGCAATAATACTTGATCACATTGCCTCCTAGTTCCTCTACAGGTAAAACAACCTACTCCCTGAACATTTGTACAGGTATAATGACTATGGGAAAGGAGGGATAGCCCTTAAGCTAAGGGTGTAGTCCCTAAAGCTAGGGTGTAGCCCTTAAACTTCTTAAGGCACAACCCTACGGTTTTGGTAATTTCTCAGATTCTTGTTTTTGCCTTGTGTTGTATTTTGGCAAATCAAATTTGTTTCAACTTATAGTGAATCCCATTTCTACATTAGTTAGTCATCATGTAAACACTCCATATCATGAATTATATCAAACCTCATTCTTAAAGATTTAGATATTTCTCAAAATCCAACAGGTTTGACTCTTGAAAGTCAACTGTCCTCATCTTTGTTTTTCATATAACTCCTTTGATCCAATTGTGCTCTTACAATCTATTGTGTTATTGCTTAGATTTGAATACCAAGTAAAAATATACCCGTCTTTGTAGAGTGATTCGCTTAGATATCTTGCTTCCACTACTTGTAACTTCGAGTACCACCACCCTGCCTACTTGGCTTTCTCATCTCCTTGTTTATTGTAACATCCCAAAATCAAAAATTATGTGATTATCCTAGTTTGAAATGTTGAGTTGAGTTGAAATGAAGTGTGAATCCAAGTCATGAGTGAGAACATGTCAATTCATGAAAGTTAGTAGTCCTGGGGGCCAGGTGCTCACTTAATGAATAGGATATAAACTTTAGCATGTCATGTAGATAAAATTTTATTTCCTGAAAATTTCGGGATACTGTAAAATCATAACAAATCACTCCTTCAACACGATGAGCTATGCTGTTACAGTGGTCAAAATCTAAAACAGCGGTCAGGACCGTGATTTGATATAGCGGTTATCGCGATGGTAAAGCGGTGATATAGCGGTTCGTGTAGAAATTACAGTTATATATAAATGTAGGAATGTATAAATAAGATAATATATATTTTGAAGATGATCATAAGAACACGTGATTAGAAAAGATGACGAGCAAACGATGCTGGAAGACAATGTTGTTGCGAAGAGAAGATGCAGATTAGTAGACTGGAATAGAAGAGATGACTGATGAAATGTTCTTCACATGAAAACCATTAACTCACTGAGGTTATTAGCCGACTAATGGCATGGAGCATAGGAGACAAGGTCAGAAACGTCAAGGGCCAGGACAAAGTCTAGTCGGTTGCTAGGCAAAATTGCTGCTTGTAGTACTGCTTGCTTATGCTATGTTGCTATATTGTTATGTTGACTTTTGCTTACAAGTGCTTTTCAAAGACAAGTCATGTATTCTAGTTAAACATGAAGTCTACGATTGAGTTGTGTATTTGTCTAAGAAATTTCGCTGCATATGTATTTGTTAAGACTTAAGATATCTTGTCGAATGCTCGTTATTCATATTATGATTTATGATAAGACATGATGTCATAGCCCAATCTCAATTAAAGGGTATGACATTTATTTACCTCTAACTATGTATACCTCTCCTGCTCTTTCTCTCTTTCGTTTGCATTAAAGAATTCAATGGATGGATGCTAAGATTTCAAAGGATGGATGCTGTTTTATAGTGGTTGAAAGGCTTGGCCACCAATATATAGAGTGACACTCCTTTGTGGCTAGGTGGGATTTGTTGGCAAAGTTGGAAAGATCAACTTAATTACTCAGCTATGCAAGGGAATTATGTGGCTAGATTGCTTGGTCACTATGTTTAGCAACACATTATACATTGCTATTCTATTTAGTATCTATTTCAACATCCTATCGTGCTTGTCCAATATAACAATGTGCTTTCTACATCCATTAGCATAACATGCTCCATCTTTGTGGTTCAACCAATAGCCGTAATCACATTGTCAAGTGTTCATTCCATTCTTTACCCGTTTGACCACAAACGGCAGACCGGTAATCACCACTCTGCCTTTATAGTCATCAATTTATTTTCAATATCCAATCGTATCATAAACGATTCTTTTACTTATTTCATAGTATTACATCATACATTTGTCAGTTGTCACATAAAATTACAGGCATTACATGACTGTTGGACCTATATTAGGAAAAAGATAAATTATTCTTGATTCTTGCCTTTGACGGAAAAACTGTGCGACTTAATAGTTTAATTCAAGCAGCAAAAGCAACCAATGAACATGGAGTATGATTCACTTGAAATGAAACAAGTTATATATTTTTTTGCAGATGTAAGCAATACCCTGCTGTCAATTCATCACAACCTGGCAATGTGTGGCAAGAATAGGTAGGAGTTGGTAGAAAACATCTTATAGTCAATTCCCTTATTACTATCTCTTCTAGTTCCTAGTCGTTGAAGTAATTGTCACCACTAGAGCAATGAGAATGGTGGTATCTGAATAAAGACATAGAAATTGAGCTTTCTCTTAGTCCAAGATTTTTAGTGCTAACATCATTAAATGTCATTCCGAAAAACAAACCCAATGAAGACCTCTTTATCATGCTAGTGATCTCATTTGTGGAGAAACAAAGGAAGCATGTTCAATATATCTTTCTTATACCCCAATAACAGAAATTAAAAGGCATAAATGATAGGCCAGTTAAGACCAAGAAAGAGCATTTTAGGTATTTGATTATCAGTCAATGGCTTTTACTAGAAGTCTAAACAAAGTGCCAAATCAAACAATGTTTGTTCGTATGGAGGTAGTACAATTGAGGTGGTACTTTAAGTGCCTATAAGTCATGCATACCACCTAGATGCTGAGACAAATACAATCAAACAAAGCGGCAAGCTATATGAAGAAACCATTTCCATAACTGAAAGTACAGGTAATTAAGCATTTCCATTATCCTCCAAGCATGATCATGCAATCTGCATATTCAAGTACTTTAACACTCCCACCCCTTAAACCTCCAGTGATGTATTTTGCACTCCCCCACATGACTTCTAGGATTCATAGTTAATATGCATTTGACTGAGCTACCAAAAAAAACAAAGCCTCTGATTATGTCAATACTAAACTTAGTCCCTAAATTTCATATCAATGCTAAAATTGCTGAATCACAGCTTCTTCTATAATTACTATTACAATCTCATCTACATGTGGATAAATGCACACGTCATTCTTCAACTTAGTCCTGTCTATGATTAATTGAAACTTCAAAATAGTTACTAGATACCTAATAGCAATCAGAAAATATTGATCGTGCCCTGAACAATCACAATTCACAAAATCGCAGACTAAAAGGCAATCAATCAAAAAAGTACGTAAGGTTTAGTTTTGCTATTATCGTTGCTAATTTCTCATCTAAACCTACACAACTTTACATCGTTGATCAAAGTCGGTCACAAGTCGCACAAATTGTGACTAATTGCTGGATCCTAGATTGCAATATAAAAAACATCGATCATCAACCAAATAATGGATATCACTCCAATCAATAACGTAACAGAGTTCAAACAACGGAAACTACCTCCGGCTTCGTAAAAATGCCAATATCACCAGTAACCCGGTTTTTGGACTCGACAACTTCGACAATCACGTTAGAAGTCCCAGGCAAGTCAGGCGGCCCTGAATCAAGCGTGACAGTTACGGAATCAAAAATAGCAAGTTTCTGAAGCCGCGCATTTGCTATCGTGGCTGCCTGAAGAAGTTCTTGCATCGATGTGACAGTCTTTAGGGCTTGGACCTCGGCTTCGATTAACGATTCCTTAGTCTTGTTGTTTCCTTTAATTATCACGTCGTGGACTCTCAACGGAACTCTTTCCGATGACATTCGCCGGAGAAGTCCTTCCATTCTCTCCCTGTCATTTCGCATCCTCGATTGCGAGGTTACTGGTGGTTCCTCTTCTTCTTCGTCTTCATCTTCATCATAATCTTCTTCGTCTTCAGCTACTTCTGAAATTGGATCTTCTTTTTCCACCATTTTCGTTTTCTACGATTCGTTTCCTCGTTTGAGCAGTACAGAGAGAAAGATGCGAAGGTTGACGTCGGAGTGAAGCCGCTGTCATCCGTCTCTGTGCGCTACTGCGCTCCCCTTTTGGTTTGGGCTGGGCTAACAAAACCTAACCAACTTACGGGTCGTGGTTGAGCATAATAAACACCCATAATTTCATCCGACAAGTATTAAAAAAATCTTATTTCGATAAACGAGAGATAAAACTTTTGTCCGATTAACATTTGAGGGGTGTTTGATATTGCTTATTTGGAATAATTTATATTTATTAATAGAAGTTTTTATCAACTTATTATAAGTTATAATGATTTAACTTCTTCAAAAAACTCTTTATTATCGGTTTGATACTGGTATAAACTGTTTATCCAATATTATTGGTATCACACCGGAATAAGTCAATAATTTGTTTTTATAAGCAATCTCAAACACCCCTTAAAGGGTCAAGAGACGATTATAAACAATTCATTTTGATGACTGAAAATGTCATCTAATAAGATAAGTGATGATGGTTTTGTCGATACGATACGATAAGTCATTTGGTAAACGATCCTTATAATTAAAAATCTAAATTAATGTAACAATATTTCTAAAAAAGTTCTATTTGAAAACCAGATTTTATGTTGTAAGAGCATCTTCAATAATATGTTCTCCATTTTCTCTGTATTTTATAGGAAAGTTTAGCATAACTATTGAAGCAAACTGTTACCAAATTTTAAAATTTTCTAAAATAACATAAGCATTGAAGATGATCTAGCTTTCGATTATGTGTTTTTTGTAAGCCTTGCATTGCACATCAACACTTATTTATTAATATTCAAATGACAGTGTACTTATTGATGTAATTTAAGTATAAACTTTCATTTTTTACTTTTCATCCACCAATGTTGGTTATTGGATGCCTTCACCTTCTCGTCACCCCTCGACTTCTCTGTTCTCCCCGATGAGAAAGAACTCGTTCTTATTTCTTTTAATCGGGACGAGATATGGGTTTTGTAATAATAAGTCATTGTCGTCGTCTTTCTCTTTCATCAGATCAAATAAACCAAAAGACTCACCCACATATCCCTTGCCAGCCTCCCTTTCTTTTCTCTCCCTGATCACATTAGCAACCGTGCCAACGATTTTTTCACGATTCGAGTTCTTTTTGTTTTAAATCATGAATTGGATCTATTCTCTTGACGAATCATGTTATGCAACTAGTTCGATTTAAGTGACGAATTAGAGTTCATGATTTCCTTTATATAGCGCAAGTGTTGATGAAATGGGTTTGGAAACCTGGTTGTGAGAGAAGAAATAGGTGGTCGATAAGACGAAGGGAATAATGTACCATGCATTTGAATCTTTTAGCGATTAAGAGAACGTCTTATGTATTAGATGCGATTAAGATAACTTACTATGTATCTGATATAATTAATAAAATACTGTAATTTTGTAACAAAAAGTCGAACTTATTACAACATTGTAAACAATATATAAAGGTTTTTTTTATTAAACTTGATTATTTGAGATGTCTTGCTGTATACATCAAGATAGAGTTCTTAAAAGTATGGCATTTAAACCACAAGGGTGGTGCCTGATTGGTCTGAACTTGACTCCAAAAGTCAAAAGTACCAGGAGGTCCAAAGTTCAAATCTAAGAAGGAATAAAAATCCGCTTGTAGCCACGGAGGTTCAAATGTGGTGGCTCCGGGCTATCTACAAAGCAAGTGATCACCCTGGGATTAGTCGGTTTTCATAGCGGGTTGGATATCCAAGTTAATCGAAATAAGGTATGTTATTTAAAACATGAATAAGATAAGAATATGTTTTATTATGATGCAATTTACTTCAATGAGTCTAAATTAACAGTAAAATTATGAAACAATAAGTTTTTGTTCTGTATTGTTTTGTCTAACCGGACCAAATATGAAGCATTTGGAATTGCAAAGTAAATTAGTAATTTCTCAAAATTTCAGGGACCAAACCTGGCAAAGAGTCGAATTTGCAAAACAAAACACAAGCGCCTTTACTCGGTTCAAATGTTATTAGGGTCTCCCCTTCTCTTTCACTTCAAGGTCTAACAATGGCGAATAACTCCACTACCACCAACGATAATCTTTTCTCATCATTGATTTCCGACATCAAAACCTACAATGGTTCAGATCCTCTTCTTCCATGGCTCCGGTAAGCACAAAACCCTTAATCTCTCAGTCATACGGTTCCACTTACGAGTTCAAATGCTAATGGTTCGGTACTCATACCAATTGAAAACTAACTAAGAGTGAAAGTTCTGATTGTATTAAATGATCGAATGATTATATTTACAGAGGAATTAGGACGATGATAGATGCGTTACCTCCTCAGCTACTCAAACAAAAACTTCCTCGATTTCTTCAAAAATGCGCTCAAACTTTTGAAACAGATCTCCGTTACAGCAATGATTTACGCTACCTTCGCGTTTGGATGAAACTGGTAATTATAATCATTTACTTTGAGTGCTTACTTTTGTGCATTTTGATTTTTGAGTTTCGATATGTATAATCCCTCCCAGTTGGTTTTGTGAGAAATATTATTATATATAAGTGAATTGAGAAGTTTTTAAGCCGATTCAGTAATTATGTTGAAGTGTTCTTCTATGTATAAACCATACATTCTTCCAACTTTGACTTTTATATCAAAACTTTTGCTGTATGAATTACAACTTAATTCCAGCCTTTTGTAATCTGCTGCATTTGTTAGATGATTCTCAGATCACAGTTATTGCTCATTTTTGTATCAGAATGAAGTTCAATAATCTAGAAGTCAAACTATGGATTCCTTTGTTTCCTTTTGATCTGTGTGCACCTGTTTCTGTGTCAAAATGGAGGTGGCATCATACTTCAAATGGATACATTGTCCTCTACATGCTTCCAAATTGATAATCCTGCCGGAGTGAAAGTAACAAAATGAAATTATTATTCTTATTTTTGGGTCAAACGGATCATCTTGTAGTGTCCGTAAATATGGCTTTCTTTAATTTTAGATTGAAAACTCATTGTATATGCGTTATAAATCAAACAAACCCAGTAGATCTTACGCAGTATATGCAATATATAAGCACCAAAAACCACAAAGTTTTGGTTTTTTGTAGACCTTAATGAACACATATCGTTGATCACATATCAATTCGATAATGGCTCTCTCAACAACAGAAATTCGTTAGCACTCAAAAGGTTTGTCATTCATATTCATGTTATTTCCATTTGTGTGAAGTTGGATTTTGTTGACAACCCTGGTGCTGTTCTGGAGAACATGAAGGCGAATCACATTGGGAACAAGAGGTCATTATTTTACCAGGCATATGCTCTTTATTACGAGAAGATGAAGAAGTTTACAGATGCTGAGAAGATGTACCATTTAGGGGTGCAGAAGTAAGTGCTCTGATCTTTTTACGGCTTTTAATTCTAAGCATCCACACTTTTACATGTCCTTCAGCTAACTACACAAATGCTAACTGATTCATTTTATATTGCATCTAGCAACTTCATAAGTGGGAATATTATGTGTAGATGGTGAGATGGTCAAATTTGTTACCGTTGTCTTAATGGTATTATGTGTTGTTATAATGAAAGCAACAAAGAAAACAAATAACAAACGATAAAATCCTCACACAGGTTTTCGTGGTTCACCAACAATGTGTTGGCTAGTCCCAACTGCACAAATAGACAAACTTTACCCTAGTTGCTCTAACAAGTAAAGATGTGGCAGTCTTGCAGAGCCGGCAGACGAGCTTCAAAAATCATTTGATCAATTTCTTCATAGAATGGAGCGACACCAAAAAAAGAGGACTCAAGTACGTTTTTTTAAGTTTACAGTTTGAGTTTGTGTTTCTACTTATTGTCTTTGAGGTCCTTCAGTATCTAACTATGTACTGATATCCTGCAGCGTCAACAAAGGCGAAGTACAGGAGATCTTTTAGGTGATGGCATTAAAGATAAGGCAGAGAAGATATCAGTTAAAGGCAGGCCAACTGAAAGCTTACTGAAGGACAAGAAAGTAATTTCACATAAGGAAAAGGAGAAGGGAAATATGGGAAATACTGGGTGTGAAAGTGATTTAGAGCAGGTATATAGGACTGAAGCAGGCCTAGATGTACATGCCGGTGATAACACAGTTGTGTTGAAATTTGCAAAGACCGCCATTGTAGGAAAATCTGAAGCTGAAGATGCACGCCATCATGGTCTCGTGGAGCCCACAATCAACACGAAAGAGGCCATGGATGCAATAAATAGCATGTTTCGTGAGCCTTTAGGCCCAGAACCTTTTCAAAAGTACAGTTCATATAAAAGCAAAGCAAATGGTGGCGACTGCTCGAAGGACAGCTTCAAGGTGTTCAATGATGATGACTCTGGTATCGGGGTTGAATCATCAAATGAAAATCAACCATTGGAGGAACCATTTCAAATATATTGTGATGATGATGATGATGATGATGAGAAAGCCAAATTTGACAATAAAATGGCTCCAAACATGACAAAAGGTGCATTTGTGTTTCCACATCCCAAGGATATTCCTCTAGATTGTTCCAAAGATTCAGATAATACGGACAGACTTCCACAAGCAAAATTTAAAGAAGATACAGTCGTGTTCCGCTTTGTAGGTTCCACCATATCAGATGAGCCGAAGGTGGAAAACGCATGCCACCATGGCCTAGTAGAACCCACAGTAAACTTGAAAGAGGCCATGGATGACATTAATAGCATGTTCGGAAAACCAATAGAATTTGTAAGAAAGAGAAGACCAAGAAAGCAGGAGAAACCCTTTGAGGAGAAGCAAAACTGCAGCTCCTTTTTGATACTTCCAGATGATGACATGGACCATCATCAACAAAAGATTTGCCAGCCAACTGGTTCATCTTCAAGAAAGGAAAACGATCTTTTTGAGCAGACCGTATGCACAAAGGAGGCCATGGATGATATAAACAAGATGTTTGCAATGCCATTGGACTTCTGAAGAAATTGGCAAGTTCTATAATCCCTTCAGTTAACTTTCACTTTCATTTCTTATGAAAAAAAGAGTAATAAGCAAAGAACCATTTTAGTTCGTTAAAGATAACATAACAAGATTAACTCGAATACAAAAAGTGACTGTAGTCATGAAATCAAACATTTAAAAACGATATTAAGTTTAGGGAGTGGTTTCTGGATCGCAATTAGTAGGACGGAAAGCCAGTGGTCCAGCTGCATACACAACTGCTTCATAGTTCTTTCCATAAAACACCTTGTTCTCAAATCTCAGAGGAGAGCCATTGATGCCATTGTTGACATTCGACAAAAGGTTGCAGGTTTGGAGCGGAGATGAGACCAGTTTCACATGACAAGAATGGAGAGGATGGTCCAATAAGTAATGTGTCATCTTGAAATCTTTGAGTTCAGCATGAAAGTAGCCACTTTTATCGGTCTCAAATGTGTTATAGTAACTCACTCTTTTCCTGTGGTTTTTGCAGATAACACTGACTTTGGCCGCTGAGATTGGTTCAGCTCCAGTGAGAGACCATGATCCGAAGTATTTACAACTCTGGCAATACACCATTCCTTCCACAACCACGGTGGCGGTTTTGTCTTCGCCATGGGCGGTGGCGGCTGCCGCTAGGAAGGTCAGTGGGAGGAGGATTGCGATGATGGTGATGAATTGCTTGTTTGCCATTTTTTTCTTGACTTGAAGAATGAAAGCTGTTTGTGGGATGAAGATGATGAGTGTATGGTGTATCATATATATAGTTAACTGAGATAATTTAAAAAAGCAAAATTAAAAAAAAAAGATGGATTTTGGATTTTGAGATCGACGTGGTGGCTACTATGTAAATTTTTGAACCGAATTTTTGTCAAAATTTGTTTGTGATAAAGAAGTGAGACTACGTGTTGGCCATTACTTTGTGCTTTGTATATAATATATATGTGGAAATATATTAAATGTTTAGAATGAATAAAGACATGAATGTCACTTATTTTTATTGTGTAAAACCATGGAATAAAATATAAAAATATTATGTAATCAAATATAATGTTTTTAGTTGTTTTTAAATTTTATTATAACAAAAAAATAGTTAGGAACTTAGGGGGTGTTTGGTTAATGGAATTTGGTGGAATTGGAATGTCCAAATCTTTGACCAAATTTCAAATCCCATGTTTGGTTCACATAATAGATGTGAAGGAATCCTTCCAATTCCTTAATTCATTGATTTCACAATTCCATCGCATATACCATGGATTTCAAATTCCAATCCGACAAATTCCTTAGCCCTCATCCATTCATCAACGCTGTATCTCGATTTGCTCTGTTCTGCTATGCTCGATCTCGTTTAAAACTAAGAATGACAACGGGCCAGGTTCGGGCCAGTTATTGGTATCCCCGTCCCAGAAACCGATAACTAAAACCGTCCCCATGACCGTCCTGATCCCCGTCGGGGATCTTATCGAGTCCCGCGGTTTCCCCGATCCCCTTTGGGGAATTCGTGAAGGTAAAAATCATCTTTTTCTCGTTCACCGTTGGTTGTAACCGAAACCCGAAACAGATCTAAAAATCCCCGAATTTATATATATATATATATATATATATATATATATATAAATTAAAATTAATATATATACACATATCAAGCCGGGCCGGGCCGATGATCACCGTCCCCGCCCCCGTCCCCGTTAAAATCCCCGAATTTGTCCCCAATCCCCGCCCCGTCCCCGATAAGATGTCCCCGAACCCAGCCCGAAAGTTTCGGTTTCGGTTTTTTTGCTTGTAATTTTCTCGTTGAATTCCGAGAACGAAACAAAAAAATTCCAATTCGGTTAAGAATTACATTTCAATTCCATCCAACCAAACGCAATCAAAAGACATGGTCAAATTCCATCAAATTCCATTTCATTCCCTCAAAGTCAAATTCATTTGATGAATTCTATTCTACGAACCAAACGCCCCCTTAGGGTCTGAATATTTCACTTGTCATAAAATGTTTCACGACTGAAGTTTGTAGATATCAAAAGATGATTATATTATAAGAGCATCCGTAACGTTTGATTTCCATGGATCGATGTAAGAAAAAGAGAGGCATTTGAAGGAAGCGGTTTCTCTGACACGTAGAAAAACCGCTCCTTAAAGCAAAACTGTAATGTCCTCTTATTGATGTTATTATATAAAATGGATAGGAAAATATCAATTTAACTAAAACAATAGATGGTTATTACATCTTTTAATTTATAAAAAGTATTATATTTTATATTTATCATTGTTGGTTTTATTTTATGTAAAAACTATTTTTATTATTAATTTTATTTCCTCTTAAATTTATTATTGTGATTTATTTATTAAATTTTGTTATAGTTTTTATTTATTATCGTCTTATATTATGATTTTTATTATTGTAGTTCTATTATATAAACCTATATTGGTCCATGATTAGAGGTGAAATGTTTATGAAATGTGCAGAAAAAGAGAAAACTGGTAAGATAGAATCATAAACCTGTAAATGAGTTAATGTCTTAGACGCTCCAACCAATTATAAAGCTAGTCAATTTTAAAAATTTGTCGCACTAAAAAGAATTCAATTTTAAATTATCATTGGTCAAGTAAACTATTAACGTTCTAAAAATGTCATAAAGATATCGACATAAAAAATTAATCACGTTTTTCATTAATCGTTAAAAAATATTCGTATTTTGCAAATTTCTTATGCGTAAATAGCGCTACATGTCATTATATTATTTGGTGATAAGAAATCAATTACATTTCAAGCTATTAATTTCTAAAAAAGAATATTGTACTCGTTTTAGATAATTGAAGACATAATAGATGTTTAAAATACATGTATTGCCACTATAAATAAAACCCATTATTTTTCGAACTTACATTTTAACATCTTCAAATATATTCAAACTTACAATTTAATAATCACTTAAATTATGTGGTGTTTTTCAAACGAATAAAAATCATACGATTGATGTTTTAGCTTAGATTATAAACAAGTTGTAAATTTTAATTGGAAATTATTTTTTTTAAAGAAAATCATTGTGTTTGTTTTATCCATGTGACCAAATGTTATTAAAGCTTGTTGACAAGATGAAATCGTTGGCTTTCTTATCCATTGTGTATGTCGATAATGATTTCTTTTGAAGTAGTCTTTGTAGACATTTCTTGATCACGATGTGAATAAATAACAAAAGATCAAACGGTAACCACAAAGTTGGTGCTTAATTGGTTTGAGTTTGGACTTCAAAGGTTAAAAGTAGGTTCGAATTCAAGGAGAAATAAAAATCTACTTGTGGCCACGGAGGTTCAGATCCGCGAAGTGGGTGGTCGTCCTAAGATTAGTCAGCTCGCATAGCGGGTTAGATATCCAAGTTAATAATAATAACAACAAAAGGTTTGAAGATTATAATGATAATATCAACAAAAATTTTAAATACATAATATTTATATACAACGAATATGTACGTGTTGCTTGATCTTTCAATTCCCGGATATTCAACTTGTGATGAAAAATCAATATTATGGAACTTTTATTTTTGCCAAAAAAAAGTTCATATTTTGACAAACAAACATATGAATTATATGCATGAATCGAATAAATAACCTTTTTAATACCATTGCTTTCATTGTTGTTTATTTTTTTAAATTTATTCCTAAATAAATTATTTTTATTATATTATAAAATATTTAACTCATTTATATGATTTATACATGTACATATTGTTTATTAAAGCTATAGGTTTGAATTTCATAAAACTAACTGATAAATACATTTAAATACAAGATACATTTATATCACTACTAACACAATGAAATGTTGAATCATTAAAACTAAAATAAATCACTTTGTTATTTTTATATCTAAAATATTTAAATTATAATAAAATTATGAATAAACAAACTATACAAAAAATGAAAACTTTATAATTTTTAATTTGACGTTTACATCGATTCACGTTTCTTAACCAAAAATCCAAATTAACAATAAATGTTCAACCATCACTTCTGACTTTTTCTTTATTTAAACAAAAAATTAATGAGAAAGTAACATCAACTTGTTTTTGATTTACAACAAATTTGAAAGTCATTTTAAAACGTATATGTTATCTATTCTGAAAAGGACTATTTCAATGTCATTTTAAAAGCTTAATTTATTAAAAAGAAAATGTCAAGATTATTTTTTATAAATATAGAAAACCAAATAAATGAAATTTGTATTATAATATATTTGTTTTTAATAATTAAAAATAAAAGAAAGAAAAGAATAATTCTTCTCAAACATATGGTTTTTCCAAATGGAGTTTAGCTGGCAAACCAAAAAGGACCACAGAAACCACGGGCCGGCAACCACTTTCCACACGTTCCAGTTCCAAAACAAGAAAACGACTACCATTCTATTCCACAATCCACACATGTTAATGTTAGCCGCTTCAAATTTATTTTTAATAATTTAAACATTTCAAATTTTTAATTCCAGCTTGTATTTTATTTTTTAGTTACAGGTATCAGCCTCAATTTGCATATACCTCAGTTATAAATAACAGTAAAAAAAATTCGAACTAACAATTTAGAAGAAGAAAATCCAAGATCCGATCTTTATTTTATCAAAAAATCAAACGTATCGACCCTTTACGTATGGTTTTTCAGGCCTTAAAATAATACAATAAGATGATGACAGAACATATTTTAAAACCCTTTAACAATGGCCAAATATGTGATTTTATTACGAAAACCCTTTTAATGAACAAAAAAATAAACATTTAAGTTTTAATACAAATACTTGAAAAAAGAAGAATATTACAATTTCGAGGGATTATAAACACACAAATAAATAAACAAAGAAATAAATAAAAAGCTGTTAGCAATTTTGATTGACATTTGGAATTCTATAAAATTTCTGAAACAGCATTTGTATAGCAGTGAATTCAGTCTCAAAAAGTAAACAAAAACAAATATTGGTGAATAGTGATACAAAGGATGTAAAACATACCGTAGTTTTAAGGAATGAAAGTAGTGCAGGAGATGCTGGTTTGTTTCTGCCAAAACTCGCGCACACATTTTCCATTATCAAACAACTCTTCAAACAACACCCTCTTCTTCTTCTTCTTCTTCTTCTATATATGTACGTACATCTACTACATATATATATAGATATAGATATACATGTTTCCCGATTCCTTCGGTTTATAAGACGGATATACTTACGGGTATTTTATGTTGCTTCGGTCGACAATATCTCAAGTTCGGCCCACCAAAGAGGGGAAATTTTCGGTGTAGCTCCATCTTGCGATATTCTTGTCATCTCTTTTAGTTTAGAAGTAACCTCTCTCATTTTCGGCCTCCTTCTTGGGTCGGGATTAACACAAGATCTTATCACTTTACTGGTTGCTTCAAGTTGATCTGCGTCGAAAGAATCTAAGGTCGGGTCGACTAATTCTATCATGGGATTTTCCCCTCTCAAGAAGTCTAATACCCAATCGTCGATTGCATCACCTCCAGCATAAGGAATTCTGCCTGTTATCATCTCGAACAATATGATACCAAAACTGTAAACATTACTTTCAGGAGTTGGTTCGGTGTTCGCAGCAGATGAATCATTGCATAGGCCGAAATCTGATATCTTGGCTGCATAGTCTTCGGTGAGGTTTACGGATGAAGAATTAAGGTTTTTGTGGGATATGGGTGGTGTTAGTTGGTGCATGTAATCAAGACAGTATGCCATCCCCATTGCAATTCTCATCCTCATTGCCCAGTCCAAATGCTCTGCTTCTTGTACTGCAAAGTGCAAAGTTCACAACTTAAAAGAAAGAAAAATGAAGGCAAATGATTGACATCATAGATCAGATGAAAACTAAGAACAATATTCACTAATGTAACACTGTTCATTTTCCATTCTGGGTTCTACCAGAACTAACAAAATTTTCAGATTTGACTACTTGAAGTTTGATTTCAGATCTTTATAAGAGGATCATAAGAATGAAGATACTCACTATGTAAATGTTCGAAAAGTGTTCCATTAGGAGCATATTCGAACGCAATCATTCTGGTAAAAGGCATATCTTCCTCACAATAGCCAAGAAGGTTCACAAAATTCTTATGGTTCACTTTCGATAACATGTCAATCTGCGTATGATAACGAAACAGAAGTGGTTAGGAAACAATTAAATCTTAAGAGCGAAAGAAAAGAACTGATATTTATACAAAAATTACCCGCTTTCTGAACAGGCTTTCAAGATGTTTTGACCAATCTTTGGCAGAAGGTGCAGCCACAGAAGCAACAGCTATTTCAACCCCACTGGACAATGTCCCTTTATATATAGTCCCGAATGAAGTGGAACCGATAACATTGCTGAAATCTTCACAAGCTGCCTCAAGCTCTGATCTCTTTAGCTTTGGTACCCCTGATATGTTGGTTTTCAGACAAGTTTAGTTGGAAATTATAACCTTTTTGATCTAATTCAAGGAACAAGCATGCCATTAAAAGGCAATATGAGACGAGAACTTTTACCAGTGACAAACGCTTTCTGCAATTGCCCACTTAGTCCTGTGGCCCAAGGCCTAACAGTCGCCACTTTATTGCATCGCCATAATAGTAACGCTGCAATGCCAACCAAAGCAGAGCCTCCTACAACAACAGTTGCTATTACAACCGTATGATTCTTGGAGTTTGAACCTCTTTCTGCGGAAGGAGTAGGAAGGGGAGCTGAAGTGTCAAGGATTGTGGGAGGAGTTGGAGGGGGTAGATTTGCCACAGCTGAGGGTACAGGAGAAGGAGATGGTGATGCCACTGGTGCACCTGTTGGTGAAAATTTAGATGGTGAAGGTGATGGTGATATTGGGGGCGGAGATGGTAATGGTGGCGGAAGGAGAACTGTAACTGGCGGAACAGATATATTATCGTCTACAGTTACTAGTAGTTTCCGGTGGGACTCAACTCCAGTTTGGGCAATGTTCCTGAAAAGTACTAGAGCAGCTGTTGTCAACCATTTCAAAAAAACAATCCTGTCAGGGCTCATTGAAAGTAGACAGGATTCTCAAAAGATTTAAAAACTACAAGTGTAACATTCCCTACAAATCAACTAAAATGGTAGGAGATTACTAGTAGCTTACTATCAAAGAGTTATAAGCAGATTTACTATAAGAACTGGACCCAATAGCCCGTAGTCCAACTAAAAGCACAAAATGAATCAGTTTTCATTGCTAGGAACATACCCTGTCATTTCCCTTCTGTTCCTATACGATCTTTGCTCAGCTTCAGGTAACAACGTAAGTTGTTGTACTTCAGGAGAAATGCTATCAAGAAGCTCATTATTGTCTAGTGATCTACAGTTGTTTGAGAAAAGAGGTGATATGTCATTGATGATGAATTTGTTAGAATCACGAATAATAAGCAAAAGTTCAATCCAACTTACAGAATTTTCGGCAATTGACTATTTCTGAGATCAGACGGAAGTGGTCCACCAAAATTATTGTACCCCAGATCCAACACCTTCAACTTCTTCATTTGTCCGATCTTTTTAGGAATCGTACCATGGAATGAATTATTCCGCAAAATTCTGCATACACAAAATTTGTTGAGACTTGATTCATGAGAACCGTAAGTATATTTATCAATTGCGATCCGGAAGGGGGGAGTTAATTTTGTTCATACATAGACTTTAGGTGAGCTAGATTTCCAAGATCAGGAGCAAGTGTTCCTCCAAGACACATATTTCTCAGGTTCCTGTGAATATAATATAAAGTTCAAAAGATGATAGAGACCCGTTAGCCACAGAAAACTCAGAGTCTATAACGTAACCATAACTTATCCAGCAACGATGCAAATCTCGGAATTTTATTGAACAAGTTAACGCATACACGAACTACTTACAAAGCCACAACGCGTCCGTTGGAGCAGTTCACACCAAACCAGGAACATGGATTGGCACCTCCAATATCGTCATTCCAATTCGACAAGACCCCAAATGGATCATTCACCACTCTATCTCTAAATCTTAGCAAAGAAAAACCTGCAAGCAGACAGTACATGTAGATATCAACAGTCTGCGTTGAAATCATCAAAAAGAAAGGAAAATCAAGTACAATTGGAATGAACTCGGATCCTGCTGATGAGGATAGAGGAAGAGAAAAAAGCTGATTTAGAACCAGTTTGTTCCAATTCTGCGAAATTATAAACCACAATGATCGGAGATGGATTTTGATACCTTCATCGTTGAGAGAGAAGCAAAAATGCAAATTCTGATATAGTACGGAGATGATCAACATCGACTTCAGCAATCGATGCCTCTCTAATCTAAATAGCTCCATCATGTGTTTACAAACACAAAGGTGAAACCCTTGGGAATCTTATCCGCCGAGAAAATCAACGTGGATGAATCAAACAAGAACTCAACAACAACACAACCACCACGGACGATAAGTGATTCACGAAATCTCCGATCCACCAACTGAGTTGACTCGGAATAATACAGCAGGGCTGGAGCAAATGAAAAATTGAATCGCAGAAATCAAAAAACCAAACCTCAGAATGGTACAATCCAGTTAAGATAAAGTAATCAAAAATCAAATCAAACTACAGTTGTTCGTGAACTAATATGGACCAAATCAACCTATAGAATTATATTAAAAGTCCAAAAACGCGTTCTACAACTACAATTACAGATTCATCTACAACTGCACAAGAATATCCCTTTACAATCACTTTATTGACTTCAAAAACACGCTAATAAGTAAGAAACCAGAAAGCATGAATCAGATACATACCAGTTAATGAGGATGAATATGGCGTATTCTCTCTCTCTAGACTTCCGTAGCGCATGAAGATTTGAAATCAATGTGTGTTACCAAAAGAGTAGAATAGAAGTTAACGACGAAGTCAATTGAAAATGGAGTTTTGGATTTAATGTAAACATCGTAATCATCTTGGATTTTCATATTATAGTGAAATGGGGGCTGTTTTGGCGGGTTGAGATTGGAGGAAGTTACCAAGAAGGTGAGATAGGGCAGCTCAGTTTTATGTGGCCAAGAACCTTTCGTGTTCCTACCATTGAATTTTCAGCTTCTTATATAACAACTTCAATAATGCAACGTTTTTGTAAATTTACAAGAATCAATTTAACGGGTGTTTGAGATTACTTGTAAATTGTATGTCACCGGTAATAAACATTTTTTAATATTCGGATAAACAACTTATATTTGTGTTAGACCGGTAATAAAAAGTTTTTGAAAAATTTAACTCATTCTAACTTATAATAAATTAATAAATATTTTTATAAAAAACATAAGTTATTTCAAATAAACAATTCCAAATACCCGTTAAATACAAATAAAGTAGTTTGTAAGTTAGCTTATTTATTAATAAACTATTTTGAGTAACTTAAGAGGAGCTTTTTGAGACTTTTCTTTTCAATTATAACACTAATTAATTTTAATTATTAATTATTAATTATTATTATCAATATTAATAAATATTAACTATTAATTATTTATAAGTATTAATTTATAGTAATTCAAATTAACTGAAAGTTATTAATTAATTTTAGTTACAATAGATATTAGAGTAAATTACATCTAAGGTCCCCATGGTTTATATGTTTTAATACTCTGAACCCCCATTTTAAAATATCTATGGATTACATCTTTAAGGTTTGCATTTTATAACACGTCGGGTTCCTAAATTTAATTCTGTTAGATTTTTTTTTTCTAACAAATAGATTAATTAATAGGACATTTCAATCATTTTAAGTATAGGGACCGAACATCTATACTATACTATAAAGYATTTGACAAAAACTCTTAAAAACAATATTTTATGCATGAAGTACTGTATATTGATGCATATTACTTAAAATTCAATATTACAATTAAATTGTGTATAAGTACAGCTTATTAAAGCTTTATTTTTTAATTCGTGTAACTAACTGCTGATAAACATAACCAAATACAAGATAAACATTTCATTTTAAATATAAAAAATTAAAATATAATTAGGATAATCATTGAATTTTAACAGAATACCTAATTATTATCCTTATAAAAATTATATTATTAAATAAAAATAAATTACTTTGATATTAAATCTAAATTAAATTATAATAAAAAATTGGATTAAAGAAATTACACAGAAAATAAAAGATTTTAAATAGTTAATTAAATATTAATATCGATACATTTTTTTTTCAAAGTTATATTTCGTTCAAAATAAAAATATTATTGTTTTCTAAAAGCACGTAAAACCGTATTATATCGATAGAGAAAATGAATAAAATGAAACATTAAAATCGAGATATATCTCGCTACATTGCGCGAGTACCCTTCCAATGTTATAAAAACCATAAGGACCAAACATGTAATTTACTCTCTGTATTTACTATATATATATATATATATATATATATATATATATATATATATATAGTTGAGTTATTATACAACCCCTTACATTTGTACAACCAATACAACTCAATCTCAACCGTCCATTTAATTTGATGAATATGTAATTTCGAAGAGGTTTTGATTGTTTCCTAATATAAAATATTGATCATAATTAATTAATCTTATTCATCTTCCATAAATATTTAAATCATAACAAATGAACTATCATCATTTCCATAAATATTTCGATTTATTGGGTTGTATTGGTTTGTACAAATATGATGGGTTGCCTTTGAAACAAACTCTCTATATATAAGGGCCTAATCAAATAATAACTGATTAGTTTGTGGTAACCGTGAGATCCAATCTCAACCACAAATCAATAGATAAATTAGGAAATTTATAATTTTGATAATTTTGAATTAAAATTTTAATGCAAGGATATTTTTGGTATTTTAAAACTCTCCTCTCTTCTCTCTCCGGCCACCGTCCTCCGGTGATACCACAATGGTATCACAATGCATCATATATGTGCTTGGGTATCACATTGAAGTTGATCGGAGATGTAACACAGTGGTATCACAATGCATCTTATATATGATTGGGTATCACAATGTATTTTTTGTTTAACATAGTCAATATTTTTAGGTATCACTGCACCGGAGGACGGTGGCCGGAGGCCGGAGGCCGGAGGACGGTGAGAGAAGAGATGAGAAAAAATACCTAAAATGTCCTTGCATTAAAATTTTAATTGAAAATTACCAAAATTATAAATATCCTAATTTATCAATTGATTTGTGGTTAAGATCGGATTTCACAGTTAATACAAACTATTCAGTTCTTCCTTGAATAGACCCCTATATATATATTTATCAACTTATTTTCACAAATTTTCTTATTATGACATCGTATTTTTGTTTTTTTTTCTTATTACAGCGTATCATTTTAAGTTGTTTTTATTATGATATTATACTTTCATTTTTCTTTATTATAACAACATATTTTAAAATTATATTTTATATAGACATTGTATTTTTAATTTTTCTTATTATAACAATATATACTTTTAAAATGTTTTTATTAGTACACTGTTCTTCGAAAAAATTATCCATTATAACAATTGACAACCTTTTAACTTGAATTAAGATAACATGACATAAGTTGTCAAACGTTAATAACACATCATTTTAATTACGAGATATAAATAAATAAAAAATTTCCATATTTTTTAAATAATATTCTCACATTTCCTCTCAATTATTCACATCTTACCTTCATTATGGTTGATGTCTTTTTTAAAAATTATTTTCTAAATTTTTTTACGTTTATTAAATTATATGAAAATTAAATATTTTAGTGTAACATATTTTTTAAACAAATATGATTTTTTTTTTCGAAAAACACGTACTTTTTAATATATTTTTTAAAAATGTTAGTGATGTAAATATGTTTTATAAATATTTTCTTATCAATGAATAATTTTGTTTTTTTTAATAATTTCTTCCCATTCCGTTCTGATTATTCATATCTCATCTATAAGAATAATCGGGAGGAAAAGTGAGGAAATTATTTAAATTTTTTGATGATTTTTTAATTCAAGTCATGTAATCAGAATGATGTGCTATCTACGTTTTACGTGAATAATGACGTAACAAGAAAACTTGATAACATGTGTCATTTTATCTTAATTCAAATCAAAAAGTTACTGATTGCTATAATGAATCAAATTTTCAAAATAAAATACTTTAATAAAAAAATCATTTGAAAATATATTGTTATAATAAAGAAACTGATAATACAAAGTCTTAATAACAAACAATTTGAAAGTAGATTACTATAATAAAATATAATGAATGTATACCATCATAATAACAACAACTTGAAAGGATATGTTGTAATAAAAAAACGAAAATAAATGTTATAATAAGAAAATTTGTGAAAGTAAATTGATTAATATAATATAGAGTTGTTTATGAACGAGACGACCCGTTAAACCCAACTCATCGGGCCCTCTAGAAATATGGGTTGGGCACCCATTATCGAGAAAATGGACGGACCCGGGTTTGTTCATTTAAAATTAATGGACAGACATGGACAATATAAAAATAAATATGGACAGGTCCGCCCGACACGTTTATGTTTTATAATCATTATTTTTACCTTTAATTAAAATTATACAAGTATATTTTAAAATTAAATTATTAAAGTTATAAGATGAAAGTTGGGACTCTTTAGTTTTTCCTTAAAAACCCAAAAAGCTCTACATTATCTTTGTTAGCATCCTTATGTCAAAAGTCCTAATCGATCAACAAATGGATATAGTCAGCACTTGCTTAAAGTTTTAATTCCAACGTGTTTTTTCTTTACTTTTTGGTTCTACATTTGTTTATTAAGAGTTACATTTTTTAGGTTCATTAACCCGTGGGCAAGCCCGACCCGTTTATAAGGCGGACAATGGCAAGTTGTCAAGCCTAAAAAAAGCAATAATGATTTTATTTTTGAATAAAATATAAATTTGAAAATATCATAAATTTTTTAAAATATATATATATATATATATATATATAT